TATTTCTTGCACTCAGAATAAGTTATTAATGATTCCTGATGCAGCTAACCAAATTATGTTCACAATTCTTCTAGTCATAGTTATATAAAAGTTCTATTTATAATCATTTTAGGATATTATAATTTTCATTCGTGTGATGATGTTTCATTTATTTATAATCATTAAGATATTATTATTTCATTTATTTTTGAAGGCATATGCAGTTACAAGAGTTTGAAACTGCAGCCAGAAGGGAAGTAGCCTGTTGCACAAGGCATAGTAACGTTTTTCAAGGACATCACAAACTGTAACGCAACATAAAACGTAGTTGTTTAAAAAAAAATCAAGCGGTAACATCCGTAACACCCGCAACCATCACACAACAGTTGTAACTGTGATGGTAGCAATAACCGCAATTTAGTACTATGGCCCAAGGTTTGTTTCCAGACTCTTCAGGACAAATCTGCTACATGCAAATGAATGCTGATTTATTTTGTTGTGTCGAGGTTTATGTTTCTAATTGCTTTTAGTTCTAGAATAATATTTTTTTTTGCAGACAGCAGGAGTAATATATGAATATAATAGAGGATGAAAAATGTTATTAAATCGTGCATTTATGTTATTTTAGATAATTACTTAAGTTATAGATATTCAATAATAAAATCCAAAAATATAAATATTCATGTTTAATTTATTTCTTCATTTTAACTCGTGCATTTAACAGCGAGAATACCCTAAGGATGCACATTGACACACCACTACGACTATTTTCAAGGTAAGTTTGTAATAAAGTGATTTATATGAAAAATTACTTTTACTTTTGTGATTTTGCTTGACAACAATGATTCTCATTGGTGTTTAAGATTCATTTGGTCAGACAATTAATTGAGAAAAAAATGAAGATTTATAATAAATCTGATATATATCTGTTGAATAAGGGTTATACTTTTATATAATTATCTCGAGTTAATTATAAATTTATGAGGTAAATATAAAATAATTTATGTTATTTTTTTAACTTGTTAATATAAATATATACTTTTCAAATACAATTCTATAATAAACTTGGGTACTCATAAAAGAATAATACTATCTTTTTATCACTGAAGTATTTTCATAAGTTGTACTAATTAAGCTTTTTATTATTATTATTATTATTATTATTATTATTGTAATTTGAATAATATAACCTTAAAACTTTTAGATACATAATATTATTTTACTTAAATTTAGAGTATATTATGCACTTATGAATGAGATAGATTTTAAATAATTTAAATGTTATATTAAAAAGTATATATTTTTATTATTAACTTTACATTTATATGAGACGTCTGATAGCATTAAATTACGAGGGTATTGTTGTTTTCATTCCTTTTATTTGAAATTGTTATATTCTGCATCAACCATTTTAAATTGATTTCATTGAATGGGGATTTTGCCTTGCTTGCTGGTGCTTATAGATATGCTGTAGTGACCGGAGCAAACAAGCTTATTGGTAAGTATTGACATTAATATGAATCCACTTGTATTAAACTTGATTGTTTTTGTTAATTATCAAATATATTCAATAGCTAATTTACATTAAATTAGTATTTGAACATCAATGTTATATTAAGTTAGATGGTAAATTGATCTTAAATGATCGAATAAAATACCATCACAAATTGCTTAATTGTATGTCACACATTTCGTCGAGGATTCCAGTCGAAATTATTTTAAGTGAATTTATATGAAGAGAAACTTGATAGCATATTACATAGATTCTTGAAGGCTTTCAAAGATGTTATGGATTTAATCGGGATTTAGATTTAAGTGTAGTGTTTTTAGTTTATTTCGGCTCAAATCCGTGTTTGGTTGAACTCTAGAATGTTGTTGGGTTTTAATGAAGGTTCGATAACTTGACTGTTTCTATTATTTTGAGTATGCAACAAAAATAAATGTGGAGGTTCACACATTTGGACTTCACTAACAATTCATAAATCCGACCCCTGTTTCTGTTTAAGGTAAGTTTTTATTTATACCATAGGTTTCATTTGTAATGGTTTTTAAGATTCCATAGTTTTCATTCTTGTGATGATATTTTGTTTATTTTTAAAGGTATATGCAGTTACAAATTACAAATAAAGGAAACATTTGCTTTTGAGATTGCAACCGGGAGGGAAGTAGGCTTCTGGTTGAGGTTAGTTTCCTTTGGTGCTTCAATAGAGGTTGATTTCTAGCTGTCTTGCCTACCGAAGTAGCAGAAAAAAATATCAAAATTTAATTAGAAAATCAGAACTTCATAAACAAAACCCAAAGCATGAATACCTTAACAATCAATCTTTAACTTCCAACACAAAATTGTAAATCATAAAATTAAAGAACAATCATTGAATCATCTTTAACTTATATACAGCACATATTTTTATTATAAATTGTAAAACAATAGATGAATCATCTTTAACTTCGAACACAATAATGCTAATTATAAAATTGTAGAACAATAGATGAATCATCTTGTCAAGCCCTTGGAGATCCCAAATCCAAGACGTGCGGTCTTAAACGCTCCTTGACGCTATATCGCTGGTTCTGCACCTAAAGCAGCCTTAAACCAAGTCTTATGTACGTGCAAACTCAATAAGAGCTGGAACTAAGCCCTTATGGCCTCGATGGAAGCGGAAGCTTTAGCACAAGTGTGGCCACTCTAGCTACAAATGTATGAGCCTAAGCGTTCAGATAAAAGCTCGCGACCCTTAATTCCGAGCTTTAGATAAGGATGAAATCTCTTGATTCCCATGTTACGCTTTTAAGTATCAACCTTATTCTCAAGATTACACACTTGTAAGTATAACACTAATTTCCAAGATTACACTTGTAAGTATCACACTAATTCCCTAGATTACACTTGTAAGTATCAACCTGATGGCTCCGATTTTTACCCCATTCGAACCCCACCTGAATATAAGGCACCCCAATCAAAACTTGTTAAGTATTCTCTTATTGTCACATCGTAACCCATTTAAAAGGAATAGAGTTCGGTGGAGAAATAAGGCAAAAAATGATCTGAATATTTTTACCTTACTTACACTTTGGGTGCGTTTGGTTCACGAAATGTAAGATTACCAGTGGGAATAGGATTACCTGCAGGAATAAGATTATTGAGAATGTTGTATTTTGTGTTTGGTTCATTTAGTAGGAATGTAAGATTATATTATTTAGTTAAAAGAATAAAAGATTATTGGAATGTATATTTTACCAAATTGTCCTTATTATATATTTGTTTTTTAACAAGTTGAATTCTACTATAATTCTACTATAATTAATTTATATATTTTCTTTAAAATTTTTAAATTCATAAAATTTATATAATTTTTTTTACAAAATTGAAAAGATAAATAGATTTAATGAAAGGGTAAAATTTTATTTTAACCCTTAAACTTCATATAAAATTCTAATTATAGACTTTTTTTGTAAATCTAAAATAGTTTAAGGATAAATTTATAATTTAACCTTCAGAGAATTTTTTTTTATTCAACGACAAAATGATATTTTTGGAAAAAATATTTAAGGGCATTTTAGTCCAAAACGTCGGTAATCCAACAATACCTAAGGAAAGGGGTAATCACATTCCCGATAATATACCCCCCAAAATACCACTATTGGGAATCAAGGATTACTAGGAGTTGGGAATGTTTGACAACCAAACGGGAGAATGACATTCCATTCCCCAGTAATATAATATGACGCCAACCAAACGTCCCCTTGTAATATCTTGATTCCCATGCTTACACCTGTAAGTATCAACCTAATTCACATGATTACATTGGTAAGTATCAACATAGTATAATCCTAGGGATGTACATGCGTTGAGTCTGATTTTTACCCTACCCGAACATGATCCAAATATAAGGTACCCCACCGACACTACAGCAAAACTGTACATTTGCGGCGTTTTTTTATACCTAAAGCGGCGTTTTTAAGCGCCGCAAAAAACACATGCGACGCTATGAAAAACGCCACAAAAAGTGCCGCTGAAAATAGCGCCGCTAAATTTCGCGGCTTTTGGTAACAAAAAACGCCGCAACAGGTAACGATATATAGCGGCGTTTGTCCAACAAACGCTGCAATAGGTGTTGATATTTAGCGGCGTTTTTCCAACAAACGCCGCAATAGGTGTTGAGATTTAGCGGCGTTTTTTCCACAAACGCCGCAATAGGTATTGAGATTTAGCAGCTTTTTTTTTTACACAAACACCGCAATATGTCTTGAGATTTTGCGGCATTTTTCCCACAAACGCCGCAAAAGATCTTGTATATAGCTGCGTTTTTTAAAACAAACGCCGCAAAAGGTTATATCTATAGAGGCGTTTTAAGATACAAACGTCGCTAATTACCTCTCTATAGCTAAGAGAAATTGATTTTGCAAATTAAAACTAATTTGTCAAATGTTGTTTTCTACTCTTTTATTACCCAAATTTAACCTGTAGCATTTTCCAATAAACTTGACATCTATACCAACAAACTTAAAATCCATAACAAGAAAATTGAAATCCATAATAATAAATCAAAGTTTACATTAACGTAAAATATAATGTAGTTCAACATTATTAACTATAATAAACAATAATATCTAAGATATTTTGCTTCTAATCTTACACATTCTTCACTACTCTTCGTCACAATGAGGTGCTTAAATTCAAAGAGATAAATCCAGTTTATATGGGAAAACAATGATGCAGAGCTAGTATCGTCCTGTCATTTCTTGCACAGATATTTTGCTTCATGAGGTCGTACTCCAATTGGCATGCCACTTGAAAAGGCCTAATGAGTCTGCTGGTGAGCACACTGAAACCAGAACACCTTCAGAAAAGTGAATACGTGAAAAGCTTGACGGATGAAAATGCAAAGAAGATATGGAACTACTTAGTTGAAACAACAAAAAACAGAACTAGCATAATAAGAACAATCGTTTCCAAGTTAAAACACATTTTGGTCAAATAACTGAACAAAGACTTGCACGAACCTCTTAACTATTAAAATGTTTCAATGAAACTAAAGGTAAATAGAGCTACATCTTTTGGATGCAATGCATAATAATTAATCTCTTACCAACCTCGCGATTGCTGAGTTGATCTAATTGATAAGATCCATGCAAGCGCAACATTTTAACCTGCATGTGAAAATATAAAACTGCATCCAATCATAAAATTCCACTAAAAAATAACCTAACATGCTTTCATAATTTTATTAAGCTATAAAAACACATTAGTCTGTCAGACACATACCACGATATCTAGCCAACCCACAGCAAGTGCTGATGACATAACTTCCCAGTATTTGGGATTATTCTCCACAACCTACATTCAATAAACTGATTAAATAACACCATCTTAAATGAATACAGAAGATTACAAATCAGTCAAACAACTCACAAGCATAAACTCTAGAACTGTGTTAGTACCATACAAAAGAAGTTAACTTCATAAGGAAAATAGAAGGTTAATTATTTCAGGACCTGCAAGTTTACAAGTTCTTTTTGAAAATCAACAAGCTTTGCGTGCACTGTTGGGTATGTTCCTGAGAAAAGGCTGTTGTAGTCCTGCCAAGACACAAATTGGTTATTAGTAAACAAAAATCTTTAAAACCAACACAATGTAACACTTAATGGATATAGTTAAGAAAGGGAAAGGGATTTACAGCTAACCGATCAACAAGGCGTTTTTAATATTTTTCAGAACAAAAGAAAATAAACTCCAATATATTTTAATAAAAATGAAAATTTGAAAACTAATTACCAGTCAACATCGTAAGGTGAGGAATTCATTGATATTTCGACAAGCTGGAGACGACGTTTTTTCTGCTTTGGAGTATAAATATTTGTGTTTCCGAGTAAATCAAACAACAATTCAAAAATAACAATAATAGGTAATAGAATGCATTGGATAACGAAAATTAGAAAAGTATAGCAAAAAGGTCAACAGACACAAATTGAAAGAATGATATACCCTGGATCCATGTTTATAATGTCGCATAGCTAAATGTTCATAGCCCAATCTGGACCGATCAACATATGGTTGCCCTCTCACCACATGTTGCGGTGCTATAAGCCATGTTATCAGTCTCTCTTATAAGGTTATAAATCCTTGTTTATTGTATGAGACCATCCTACAGAAAATCAATCATAAAACCTGAAATATCATGAATTTGATGGGAAAAAGAATTATGAGTCTAACTAAAATAATACAAGATCAAAGACATTAACAGGTAAATGTTAATCAAATCAGCTCTAGAGCATGACATCAATAATCCTAATTTCACAACTAAAATAAACTATAGCAACTCTCTTAAGAATGCTAATAATAACAAATTATAGGGTACCAATAAGTCAATCCCCAAAATTACCCATGTATCCTTAAACGCCGCACTCATGGAGGAAAAAAAATAAAAACCAAGGACGGTAATCAAGAACCCAGAAAGAATATCAATGAGTTTGATAGTAACAGCTTATACCCAAAGTGATACAAATGACGAGAAGCAACCGGACCATCACCTTCATTGTTTCCCGGACCGCAAATAGCAAGAACACGATTATATTCACTTGGTTTATAAACCTACAACAAGAAAAACTCTTTTTAAAATTGCACACTAGAAAAAAAGACATAAACTTACACTGGAAAAAAATTGTGGTGAGTCTCATCAACCTCAGCATTTTCTCGTTGCGTGAGGTACGAAATAACCCAGATTTTGAACCGAAGAAGCCATTGATCCCGCTTCACCGGACTTCGAACAAAACACTCGATTACTAAGATCGAAATGGGAGCCAAAAAACTCTATAAATTATGAAAAATGGAGAAGAGTAGACTGACCGATGCAGGAAAAACCGATGGAAGGTTAGGGTTTTGCAGAGATGGAAATGAGGAACTTTGAAGCTGAGCAAAATAGAGACAACTAAAGAGGGAATTTATCACGTGCATTGCACGCGAAGCATTAAAAAAACTTGTTTGTAAACTTGCGGCGTTTTGCGGCGTTTGTGTTTACAAACGCCACTAAAGTAAAAGTCTTTAGCGGCGTTTGTATAAAAATGCCACTGAAGTACGAGTCTTTAGCGACGCTTGTATAAAAACGCCATTGAAGTATGAGTCTATAGCGGCGTTTATATAAAAACGCCACTGAATTACAAGTCTTTAGCAGCGTTTGTAAACACAAACGCCACTAAAGTACGAGTCGTTAGCGGCGTTTGTATAAAAATGCCACTAAATAACTAGTTTTTAGCGGCATTTGTACAAAAACGCCACTAATGAACTCATTTTTAGCGGCGTTTGTACAAAAAATGCCACTAAAGTACGAGTCTTTAGCAGCGTTTGTATAAAAACCCCACTAAATGATTTTAGGGTTTGGGTAGGAAAAAAAAGGACTATATATTTAACATTTTGCAGCGTTTATACAAATAAATGCCACTATTGATTACATTATTGTGGCGTTTGTTAAAAAAACGCCATTATTGATTAAAACTATTGCGGCGTTTTTGTAAAAACGCCACTATTGATTAACACTATTGTGGCGTTTGTCTAAAAACGCCACTATTTATTATAAATATTGCGGCGTTTTAAGAATAAATGCCACTATATGTAATCTATTGCGGCGTTTGTGGTATAAACGCCGCTAATTTACCGATCTATTGTGGCGTTTTGGCTAAAACGCCACTATATGTTAATCTATTGCGGCGTTTGTGGTATAAACGCCGCTAATTTACCCCTCTATTACGCGTTTGTTGTAAAAACGCCGCTATATGTCAACTCTATTGCAACATTTTTACAACAAACGCCTCTAAAGTATCAATTTGTGGCGCTACGATTGTAAACGCTGCTATATGTTTAACTTTTGTTGCGTTTTCTCTCCAAACGCCGCTAAAAACGCCGTTACATATCAGTTTTGTTGTAGTGCGACATCCACTAAGTATCCCCTTATTGTCACATCGTGCCCCATTTAAGAGGAATAGAGTTCGATGGAGAAATAAGGAAAAAAGTGAAGTGTAGAATTATGTATTTTTATATTGTTCAGACCAGTCAATTGATTCCATCTATCCGCATTAATGGCGCCATCTTATAAGAGGTCTAGATTCTGATGGAGAAACAAGTATAAGCCTAAGTTCTTATAAAAGCTCATGACCCTTAGTCTTTAGCTTTAGTATAAGGAATAAAACTCTTGATTCCCATGCTTACACTTGTAAGTATCGACCTAAGATAGTCGTAGGGATGTGCATGGGTTGTGTTTGATTTTTAACCCGCCCAAAATCGACTCGAATATAAGATATCCCCATTGTTACACTTTTAAGTATCAACCTAATTCTCAAGATTACACTTGTAGGTATCAACCAAAGATAGTCATAGAGATGTGCATAGGTTGGGTTCAATTTTTACCCCACTCGAATATAAGGCACCCCCACGACACTCGCTAAGTATCCCTTTATTGTCATATCGTAACCTGTCTAAGAGGAATAGAGTGGCCGAGAAACAAGGAAAAGTGAAATAAAGATTTACGCAAAATTCTGTCTGTAAAAAGGTTATGTCCGAATAGCATAAGTTTACATGTAAAATTATGTTTTTTATATGGTTCAAACCAATCGATGGATTCCATCTTTTTGCATCAATGGCATCACCATATAAAAGGTTTAGATTCCAATTGTGAAACAAGTATGAGTCTACGCGTTTAAGTAAAAGCTCGTGACCCAGCTTTAGTATAAGCAAGAAAACTCTTTGATTCACATGCTTACACTTGTATGTATCAACCTAATTCCCATGATTACACTTGTAAGTATAAAGTGAAGATAGTCCTAAGGATGTGCATGGGTTGGGTTTAATTTTTACCAAATTCGAACCCGATCTAAATAGAGGGAACCCCACCGACACTCAAAATTGTAAAATGATAAAATTTATTTTCATAAATATGAATTGAAGCTAAAACTCTAAACCTTAAATTAAACTCCTAAAACTAAAAGGCTTATGTAAACTTGTAAAGTTTGCACAACATGTGTATTGAAGTTTCACAACTTGTAAAAGAAGTATACAACTAGATTTATTTCAAATGCTATAAAAATATCGGTTACACTATCAAATATTCATTTTTCAGGGACATATTCTAAGTTTCAATGGTAGTATTTTATCAAATGCTATAAATGTTTGCTTTTCGGGGGTAATTTTTAATGTTGAACTGAGGTTTTTATCAAATGTTATAAAAGTTTCCATCACCAATGGATCAAATAGTTATCCTTTAGTTTCCATAGACGAGACATTTAGGGTTTAGTTTAGGATTTAGAGGTTAAGGGTTTAAATTATATGGTTTTGAATGTTTGGAATTTAGGGCTTAGGTTTGTGGTTATATTTTTAGAGTTTTAAGCTTGTGTAAACTTTTTTACATTGCAATGTATCAAATATTAATCCTAAAAAATGTAGAAAAATCAAAATTTATTCTTACAAGGGTGTGTTGTGTAGACCCTTTTTACACTGTCCGTGTATAACATATTAATCCTAAAAAATGCAGAAAAAAATAAAAATTTATCCTCAAAAGGGAGTGTCGTAACCGGTTTTCGTCTGGGCACGAATTTTTATACTCGGCCGGAAAAATAATGTGAATAAATGGTTTTTAAAATAATTTGGGAGTCGCCATCGACCTTTTGGGTCTGGTAGGTCGAATACCTAAAAATTATCTTTTAAAAGAGTTTTAAGAAAACATCAGTTAAAAGATGAACTGATCTGCGTTTATAACCAAAAATTTGTTCTTTTTAGAAATAAAAAGGGATTCGTGGTCGGTTACGTTTAGGGAAGGATTAGCACCCCTACAACGCCCAAAATTGGTACTTATTAATTATAAATTGTCTCTATTATTGGAAATTTAAAAATTTAAAAATATATTTAATTCATGATTATATTATTTCGAATTTATTACTATAATTTTTAAGAAAATCTATTAATTTATATATAAAATATTTATTTATTTAGAAATATCAGAAAAGAACTTTTAGGTGCCTTAAGACAGCTCTTTTCTTCGATATTAATAAATAAAAATAAATATTAAAAATGTAATAATTTAAATAAAACTAATTATAATTTTTTATAATATTTAATTAATTAAAATACCAGAATAGGACATCTAGTTGTATTAAGACTGCCCTTTTCTTTGATATTGAAAATAAATAAACATTATTATTTAAACGAATATATGAGTAATATTTTAAAATATTAAATTAAACATATTGAAAAAGATAATAATAAAAATAAATTGTAATTAACTAATGACTAAAACAAATAAAATTAAAATAACAGGAAAAATGTAAAATATTTAAATTAATGGACATAATTCAAATTATTTAAAAAAAATTACTAATAGTGTAATAAATATCAATCTGAATTAAAATTAAAATTATAATAATAATAAGGGCTAAATAGAGTATTTTACCTTAAGATACATAACTAAAGTAATTTAACTCAAAAACAAAGATTTGATTTCAACATGAAGCACACAATTAATATTGGAGTTTTCAACGTAAAAAATTAAAGGTTTTATTTTTCTATCAAAAAAAAAGTTTATTTTATAATAGATAAAACAAAAGCATCATTTTTTAGATTTGAATTAGGGGGTCTTTTAATCAATTACTTGGTTTCAACTATACATCTATTAATACATGAATTAAGGGGCATATATATATATATATAATAATG